CTCACATTTTCGTAAGTATGGTTTAACCCTGACTCTAAAGAAAAGAAAAAACAGCTGAACCCTGACTCTAAAGAAAAGAAAAAACAGCTTAGTTTAAACATAAACGGACGTTTATAAAAATTTAAACTTTTTGCAATTCAATTTAAGCTTCACCTGAGAAATATGGAGTGTTTGTCCCTCCTAATTGCTTGACCATGTTGCTGTGAGGAAAAAAGGCTTAAATTAAAGATAAACGGTGTAGAATGGAAATATACACTCTTCGAATTCAATTTAAGCTTCACCTGAGAAATATGGAGTGTTCGTCCCTCCTGTTGCAGCATCGGCGAGGAAACGATGATAAATCGATATTGGAACGAAATGCAACCGATTTATAATCCGCGAGGCAATCAGTGGTTTATATGGATAGATGTAGGAACAAGAGCAACCGGCAAAGGAGACTAAGGTTTACAGGAGCATGTGTTTTTCAGGCGGCTGAATTGGTATCCATGGGATTGAGATCTAGATTATTCATTTAACTGTATATGAGGTCGGTGGTATAGTCGGTATCTAAGAATAGTGTATGTGGGCTTACAAATGAATGGTCTTACTTGGTTATCTAAGAATAGTTTATGTGTGTTCAAAAAAAAAAATGAATGTAGATAAAATTCCTTTTACTTCCATTCATAAATACTATCGGTAAGTGCTAACAGACTAACAGTTCACTTTTGTCAATGTTACTTCGACCATTAATTCTGCATATGAGTAAAAAAAACATATAAAAAAAGCAAATTTTTAAAATTTACAATGTGACAAAGTTAATACTACCTCCGTCCCGCTAGAAGGTTCTCATAGCAAAACGACACGGTTATTTAGGTGATAATTAGATAAAGTACTTCAGGTATATTTTGAGAAATAATTTTAATAGGTATATATTATAATGTGTTAGTATTGATAATTGTGATGTTATAAATGTATTATTTTTAATATTTAATGACTAATTTGTCACTTAAGATTATTAATTGTTTCCTAAAATGGAAATGAGAACCTTCTAATGGGACGTCCAAAAAGGGAAAGTGGGAACCTTCTAACGGGACAGAGAGAGTAATATTTTTTAGGAATAGTTTTTTAATACATTAACAAATGCTACCTCTGTCACTCAAAATTTTGCCAAATTTGACCGCCACGGAGAATAATTAAGTAAAAACAGTGTAGTTGAAGTTAGTGCATAGGAGAGAGAATTAACAGAAACTACAAAATAATTGATTAAAATGAAAAGTGACAAAGTTTTTTGGGATGTTTCAAAAAGGAAAGATGACAATGTCTCAAGGGACAGGGGGAGTAATGCGTAGTCAAAGTAGAGAATGTGAATAATATAAAATGAGACAACTCATGTTGTCTATACAGATTTGTTTCAAAATCTTTAATTTTTTATATCTTATATTTTAAGTTTTGAAATTCTTCAATGTGTATTAATTATAAATTTCAATTTTCCAATGTTTCATTTTTACATTTACATATTAAATTTTGATTTATAACCCTTGGTTTAAATATTTCGGCCGTGCATCGCACGGGTAAGAATACTAGTTATTGTAATATCATCAATAATATAATTTTAAACTTCATAGAATAGAAATGCACAAGGGCCCGTGATACATATAACATATCTTTTGGGAGATTGAATGGTCTAATTGGATTCACATTTTTTTGGCCCGCGCAATATTATCGTATTGGGCATTACTCCAAACGCGCAACACGCGTCGGAAAACTAGTAGATAAATAGAATAGAATAGAATAGAATAGAATAGAATAGAATAGAATAGAATAGAATAGAATAGAATAGAATAGAATAGAATAGAATAGAATAGAATAGAATAGAATAGAATAGAATAGAATAGAAGCACTACATGTCTTCTTATACTAAGACAATATATATGAGAGAGAAAATACCACCACTCAATTGTGACAATCAATCTAGTTCCATTACACAATCCTTCTGACTGGTCTATATTTCTTAACAACATTATTGGAGCCCAACCTTAAGCAATCAAGGATGTTGGCATTTAACAAAAAAACAAATGCCTAGCTTCAATTGTCTTCTGTATTAGTCCTTGAGGTTGCCACGTGGCATTTGTAGAGTAAAGGAGATAATTGTGGGGAGAAGAGCACATAGGCTTTAAAGAGGGTAAAATGGTCTTTGGAAGAGCTATTTGCTTTCTTATAGATAAATAGAATAGAATAGAATAGAATAGATAGAAGCACTTTATGTCTTCTTGTACTAAGACAATATATATGAGAGAGAAAATATCCCTACTCAATTGTTAGTCAACTTATATCTAAAAGCACTACATATGAGAGATAGATTTTCATGTTAAATTGTTAGTTGGATTATCTTACGCTTAAAAAAAACTACATATGAGAGAAAAAGTTGAAGAAAAACTATGAAAGTTAAATAACCAAAAAACGGATCAAAATAAATGAGGTGCACCTTTCAATATTTTTCTTTTAATTTTCCGGGCACTTTTGAAAATCGGAGTTACTTTTAACGGTCTTCAGATGTTTTTAACGGCGTGACCCTCTTGTGATAACGGAATTCAAACACGTGAACCACTTTGATAAAGAATGAAACACATGACCTGATGTGAGTTTTCTCGCACTTAAAATAGATTGTAATATAGTGGTGTAAGTACGAGTATCGTCTCCACAGGGACGGACAAAAGGGAATTAAGAATTAACTAAATTCAGCGATTAAAAAGAAATAAAATAAATAAATGCGTCGTGCGAGATTGATTGGTTGGAAAATTAAACTAATGCGAATAAAACAATTAAACTAGGGAGTTCTTTCTAATTAATGACGAAGGGAACAGGGATTGATTCCGGGGTAACCAGATTTCTGGCAGATCAGGCCTAATTACATGAAATTAATTTAATTGAGCCTAGCTAATCATTATTAAGTTCTTACCGCTCTCGCGGCGTAGAGTACAATACTTTAGGGGACCAGGCTGATCTCTCATGCGACAGGATCCTAAATTATTGCCAAGACGAGCGAGATTACGGCCCCTTAATCGCTACTAATCTCTTAGCGAACAATTAAGTGTGTGTGAATGTGTCCTAGAACAAATTAGATCTCTCTTAATTTATTCTACATGCAATTGTAATTCTAGTCGCGATTCTAGGTTACAAAAGATATCAATTAAATTATTCAAACAAAAATTAAACGACATTCATGCAATTAAACCGAAAAGAATCTAGCCATACATCATGATCAACCCCTTCATCAATCCCAAATCCCAAATTAAAACTACTCACAATTCATAATTGAAGAATCAATAGAATTGGAATAAAAAGAATTAATTGTCATTAATTAAAAAAGTGGAACTTACAAAGAATCCCAAAAGATTGATGAACAAGGCTGAAAAGCTCTCTAAAATTCGTGCTAGGCACTCTCTCTAAGCTCCCCCTTGTAAACGGGGGTTTACAAGCTGTTTAAATAGGAAAATCGGGTGAAATTTGAGCTGAATTAGGATTTTCGGAGCCAGACACGATGCCAGGCACGATCGTGCCTCCGGAGCAAAAACGCGCATTTTGGGCAGGCACGATCGTGCCTCCCTCCAGGCACGATCGTGCCTGGCTGGCAGTAACTCCGCGGTGCTTTTCTCTTCAGGCACGATCGTGTCTGACTTTGAGGGCACGATCGTGCCTACTTAAATTCCGAATTTGGCAAAACTTCCTTCATGAAAGTTGTAGATAATGAATTCGTCTATCCACCTCAATTTGCCGAATGTGATTTGAATCATCCAATCAAGAGATATGATCAAACCGGTGGAAGGTGTCTTTCTGAAATCGCAGCAGAGATCATCTGACTTCATCGTCTGTTTTCACCTTCTTCCTCTCCGATTCTCGCAAAGGTGTCTTCATATGATTTGTAGCCCTTGAAGTTGGATTTCCTATGGAACTTGAATCGTGTACATTGGATGTTTCTACAAAGAGATATGCTTGAACGATTGACAGAAGGTCATCCTGATCATCGTTTTCAAGCTTCATTCATCTTCTTTTGACCCCGTAGTCAATCCTAGAGCTCTTTTTCCTTCAAATCTTCATCGTGAATCTTCCGGTGACCTCCAAAGCTATCAAATAAGTATTGTATTTACAAATATCATTTATTTGATGATTTAATATTAGTTTTTGATGTTTTAAATGACCCAATTTATATTTTCAAAAAAATGACCCAATTTATTGTAGAAAAGTGATCCATATTATTTTTGGTCAACATTCAGATAATTCATACTAGCTCAGTCCAAATTTGTTTTGCAAAGTTGACTTTTTTCGTCAACCAATATTAAAGTTAATTACATCCTATGTATAAATAATTCAATCTTAATAATAAAAATTTACATATTCAAAAACTACATTAAAATAGTTATAAGGTTGCAAAATTCAAAATTAAGTAATTAAAATGAATCTATATGATCCAAAAAATCAAAATTTGCAAATCAATTTGGAATGGATGGGGTGTGATTTAGAGCATCTCCAATGCTATAATGTGCACGGTGCACATGTGGCATGATAAATAGCCACATAAATATTAACAAATAAATTATTTCTCTCCTTATTTAAATGATTTTATATGGTTTTGGTAAGTTTTTCTCGACAATGTCAAGAAGACCGTCTACATGTTGACATTGTAGAGAAAATCTTACCAAAATTATACAAAATCATTTGAATAAGGAGAGAAACATTTTATTTGCTAATGTTTATGTGGCTATCTTTCATGCTACATGTGCACAGTATACATTCTAGCATTGGAAATGCTCTTAGAATTATTTGTAAAGTACTTTCTCCGTCCCATTTTACCTATCCTACTTTCCATTTTGGATTGTCTCAAAATAAGTTTCTCATTTTTTTTTAAAGAAATATGTAGCCAACACTATTTCACTCTATTATACTCAAATTTCAATTAAAACTTTTACTTTCTCGAACTACTTTATTAATAATCTCTTCCTTTGGATCCTATAAAACTAACTAATAAAGTTTGTCAAGTTTTATGGGATGACAATAAAAGAAAGTTTTATTGAAGATCTCGGTGACACTATTGAAGATCTAACCACACTCAAGACGCCACGGAAAAACTTCTTCTCCGATCAGAAAACCAATGCAGCGTCATTCTCAACCTGCAAAGAAGGTGCTAAGCTAAACATCACCCATACTCACAATCCCACTCATGGAATATCTCAATCTCTATTGTTTACAATTCCAGTTTTCTTGGGATTGTTCATTTAATTTTCAAAACTTCATCTCTTTTAAAACTGCAGTCGAAAGAGTGGTTAGGAGTAAGTTTCAAGCCAGCGAACTTTATACCTGGGGTGGTAATCGGTTTCATTCTCGGACTATTGTTGGATTTGTCGAAGCCCTCTGGACCTAGCGGCAATAACAATCGAAGCAATAATTCCCTTACCAGGAGGAGTCGATTGTTGTCCAGAAATCAAAAGGAGAAGACAGTAACTCAAGGATCAGCTAACTCTGATAATGAATTCAAACTGGTAACTCTTGTTGGTTTTATGTTCTCTTAAACAATTTCCTATGTGTTTTGTTGCACATGTTTTTTCACACTCAAGATTTTCGTTATAAAGTTGCAAGAAGATTATATTCTTCAACTGTGGAAATTAGGTTAACTCAGTATTTTTCGAAGTATATGAGAACTTAAATTCATTTCCAAAAGCAAAATATTGTTAAATTAACTCTTCAATTTTAGATTAAGGTAATTTTGAAAAATCTTTTTATGTGGAAGCTTTGGAGGGATGAATCAAATCTCATGTAAGAACTTTCTAGAGTTTCATTCAGACTCAGTATGGGTGCTTGCACGGATCACGACCACTTTACTAGGAAATATTTATTTCTTTAATGGGATCCTTAGAGAGTTAGAAGGTGTTCGCTGGCTCTTGCAGATAACAACAACTAGTTCAGAATCATTAGAATTAAGGATGTTTTCTTTTGGACTGTTTTCAGTCCCAGACCAGACCAAACTTCCGTAGTTATACAATACACAGAGAACAAACATTTGCCAGACTAGACCAAACCAACAAATTTCTGTCCAAAAGAAAACATTCTAAATACAAAATTCAACTCCCAGTAATTTCCACCCACATACCAAACTATGCGTTTGTGAAATCGTATGTAACTGATTGATGTTTCAGATTCTTAAGGTATTCAACATATCTGTCTCTTACTTTGAGAAGTTCTTTAACAGGTCTTGGTGGTAAGGCGAGACTTGAAGATGGGACAAGGCAAAATTGCATCCCAATGTGCACGTAAAACATTCATTGGCGTTTATGATTTTAGATCACAACTTTCATACATCATCTCAATGATCTTCTCTATTTGAATGCTTCCTTAGTTCCTTTAACAAAAATGCAGATGCTGCAACTGGCATGTACTCAGAGCTAATGTCCAGGTATTTATTGTTCCTTTTTTCTATTCCATTCTGTTTAGGGATTGTGAACAAGAACTAGATTGGGACTGAAAGTCTTATCTCTTATAAAGAAAGGAAGGATACAACAGTATATATAGAAGACAGAAACCCTATGAGAGAAACCCTAAAGGCCCATGAGCTTATTGGGCCTAAGCTAATAAATACAAATATACAATACACTATTTACATGCTAACACTCCCCCTCAAGCTGGAGCATAGATGTTAATCATGCCCAGCTTGTTACAAATAAAAGAGATCCGTGAACTAGGTAAAACTTTGGTAAAGACGTCAGCTAATTGATTTCCTGATCGAACAAAGGGAGTCGAGATGGTTCCATCTTCCAACTTTTCACGAGTGAAATGGCAGTCTACCTCGATGTGTTTCGTTCTTTCATGAAACACGGGATTGTTTGCAATGTGGATAGCCGCCTTATTATCACAATACAGTTTCATTGGTTTTGATTGAACAAACCCGATTTCACCTAGCAGATTACGTAACCATACCAGCTCACAAGTGGCCTGAGCCATGGCCCTATATTCAGATTCAGCGCTTGAACGGGAACGACATTTTGTTTCTTGCTTTTCCATGAAACCAGATTTCCTCCAACAAACACACAATAGCCAGTAGTAGACCGCCTAGTTGTAGGGTCCCCATTGTAGTGAACCCTTCTATGATGTGATGGCCGTGGTTTCTGTATAAGATGCCATGACCGGGAGCACCCTTTAATATATGTGATGTTCTTGGAGATGATAAAAACTGACTTACAACACTTACTGGAAAAGCAATATCAGGATGCGTAATTGTCAAGTAGTTTAGCGTTCCCACTATTCTTCAATTTTTTTCTGGATTCTTAAGTAGATCTCCATCATCGGCTCTCAATTTCATATTTGGAGTCATTGAGGCCTCACAAGGCTTTGCTTCAATCATCCCAGAGTCATTCAAGATATCCAAACAGTATTTCCTTTAAGACAGATAGACCCCTTTCTCAGTACGAAATACCTCAATTCCTAAGAAGTATTTTAAAAGACCTAGGTCCTTTGTTTGAAACCAAGATGCAAGGAAATCTTTAAGCTTTTCGATCCCAGTTACATCATTTCCAATAATCACAATATCATCAACGTATACCACTAATAGAATACATCCAGTAGATGATGAAGTAAAAAGCACAGAATGATCGTGAGAGCTCCTCTGTAAGCCAAACTCGGTCACTACGGCGTTAAACCGTCCAAACCAAGCATGAGGGGACTGCTTTAAACCATACAATGATTTACACAATTTACATACTCTACCAGACTCCCCGAGCAACAAACCCAGGTGGTTGCTCCATATAAACCTCCTCGTGTAAATCACCATGCAAGAAAGCATTTTTCACATCCAACTGGTGTAGTGGCCAGTTGTAAGTAGTGGCTAATGAAATAAACAGGCGGATGGAAGAGACTTTAGCCACAAGAGAAAATGTCTCACATTAATCAACCCCGTAAGTCTGAGCATACCCTTTGACGAGCCACAGAGCCACCTGGGTTAACCTTAACCTTCACTGTGAACACCCATTTGCAACCAATTGCCTTTTTACCTGCACGTAACTCTACTAAATCCCATGTACTATTATGATCAAGAGCATTAATCTCGTCAATCATAGCATCCCTCCATCCAGAATGGGCCAAAGCTTCACCAACCGTTTTAGGGACAAATAATGAGTCAAGTGTAGACAGCAAAGAACGAGAACATGAAGACAGTTTATCATAGGAAACAAAAGAAGCAATGGGGGTAAGTACATGAACGCTTACATTAAGGTCAGGATGTTGTGTATCAAAAGGTGGTGATTCACTCAAAGTAAAAGGATCATCATTGGGCTGATCTGTAGAAGAAGACAAAGATGGTAGCGGGTCGAGATCTGATGTAGGGCGCTGTCGTCTCGTATATACATGAACAATCAGTGGCTTAGTAGGCTCTTGATACTGTGGTGTGGGAGACTCAGGAACGGGTATGGCATAAACCAACAGATCATCACTATCTCATGGAATGTAACGTCTCGAGATACAATATATCGATTAAGTGTGGGTGAAAAACACTTATACCCTTTTTGAAGACGTGAGTAACCAAGAAAGATACATTTCAAAGACTTTAGATCCAGCTTAGTTATGTGTGGCCGAGTATCACGGACAAAACAGGTACTGCCAAAAATTTTGGGGTTGACAGGGAACAATGATTTTGTAGGAAATATTACAGAGAAAGGGCTTTTACCATTTAAAACAACAGAGGGCATTCGGTTGATAAGATAACAAGCAGTAGCAAGTGCATCGGCCCAAAAAAGCTTAGGAACATTCATGTGAAATAAAAGGGCCCGACCCACTTCCAAAAGATGGCGATTCTTCCGTTCTGCAATCCCATTTTGGGCCGGTGTATCGACACATGAAGCCTCATGAAGAATACCATTTTGAAACATATATGACTGAAATGTTTGAGACAAATATTCTTTTGCATTATCATTACGAAGCGTTTGGATGGAGACATTAAACTGTGTTTTAATTTCAGCATATAAGGAACAAAAATGCGTAAATACCTCCGATCGATTTTTCATAAAGTAAAGCCATGTGGCGCGAGAATAATCATCAACGAAAGTAACGAAATATTTAAACCCAAGTTTTGAAGTCATAGGACATGGTCCCCAAACATCTGAATGGACTAACTCAAAGGCGGATGATGCCCGATTGCCCGCTTATTACAGACTCTCGGACTTAAATGAACACGTTGGTGTTTAGCAAACTGACACGAGTCACACTGTAAAAAAGGTAAATAAGAAAACTCAGGACACAACTTTTTCAAATTCTGTAAGGACGGATGACCTAATCGACAATGAACTTCAAATGGAGACGCTGAACTGGAGCAAGTCAAGGAGTAAGGTGTTTGAGGTTCAAATATGTATAGGCCATCAGATTCCCGCCCTCTACCAATAATCTTCTTTGTCGACACAGTAATTTGGAAAGAATGAGACACAACAATTTAAGGCACGAGTAATTTTGCTGACAGATAACAAGTTGAACAAGAAATTAGGTAGGCTCAATACAGAAGACAATGAAACAGCTGGGGTAAGATCAATGGTGCCAGAACCAAGGACAAGTGGGGTGGATCCATGAGCAATAGTGACGTGAGATGAAGGTGTATGCCTATTGAAATTTGAAAAGAGGGTAGGGTTACCTGTCATGTGATCCGAAGCGCCTGAATCAATGACCCATTTGGTGGCAGTAGATATGAGGCATTTACTAGAGTTACCTGTTTCAGCAAATGCAGCAGTCGGAACAGTAGAACTTTCAATCCTTAAAAATTGAGCATATTCTTCTGTAGGAATAGTAACCATGTTGTCTGAGGCAGAAGCAAAGTGGGCAAATGAGCTTTTCTTTTCTGATTCTTAGCCAAAAGCTGCTTACACGTGCGTTTGGTATAACTGAACTCATGGCAGTAGTAACACTCCATCTCACCAGAATCTGGAACTGCGGCTCGTGATTAGAGGTTGTGTCTCTGTGACCACCTCTAAAGCCCCCTCTATGACCCCTGTGCCCCCCCCCCCCCCACGAAAGCTACCATGGTATCCTCTACTGACCAGAGCACTGTTGTGATCAAAAGTTTGGGAGGGTTGAATATTTTCATTCCGAAGGACACGAGCAAATGTATCCTGAAGGGAAGGAATGGTAGATTCATTCAAGAATGGGGATATGATGGAGTCAAATTCTTGTCGCAAACCAGTCAAGAAACTGATAACAACCACTTGTTCCCTTTGAGCCTGCATAGCTTTTACATCGGCACTTATTGGAAGCAGAGAGTTAAGCTCCTCATATATTTTCTTGAACTCCATGACATAAGTAAGGAGTGACCGATCTTGCTGTTCCCCGCGATGAAAGGACTTACAAACACTATAGATTCGAGAGATGTTACTTTGCCCAGAATACATGAAATCAAGATAGACCATGAGTTCCTTCACATACTCACAGTGACTAACGAGAGAGGAGACAGAAGGTTCTATGGTATTAATAATTTGCAAATACAAACGAGCATCACTTTGTAACCATGAATCAGATTCATCAGCTGTAGGCAATGTTCTAAAAGGCGTAAGGCGTGCCGAAGCGGCACGACCGAGCCTTAACCCTTTGGAGCCTAGGCGGGTTTAGGCAGAGTTTAGGCGTGAAAAGGCGTTTTGATTTTTTATCATTTATTTTAGATTTCCTAGAGCTATTTTAAACATTTATATAATGTTTTTAAAAAACATCATAGTTTTATCATTTTCAACAAAAAAAATACATAAAAATGTAAATAAGTACATTACATAAAAAGTAATACCTAATATATAATTAAGATAAGGACATTACATAAAAATGTGACTTGAGACCAACAATTTTAAGTATGTCAATTTAATATTAAATAATACGTAGTACCCAGTAGTATCATATAAGAAACAATTTTTCTGAACTCCCCCAAAAAATAGTTTTGTACTCCACAAAATATAAATTTACCTATCACTCAATATGAAACTAGAATTGGAAAGAGTAGTTGAATGGTAGTATAATAGTTATAATAATAATTATAACAATAACAAAAATAATGATAGTTATAATAATAGTAATGACACTTAGGATGTTTTTACTTTGGACTGTTTTCAGTTCCATATCAGTCCGGACTAGAACAAATCTAAATAGATCAAACCAGACCAAACTTAACTTACGTAGTTATAAAATACACATAGATCAGACGTTTACCAGACCAGATCAGACCATACTAGCAAGTCACAGTCTAAATAAAAACATCCTTATACAAACAGTGATATTAACAATAATGATATTCTAATTAGCAGTAACACTAATAGTAACATTAATTCTAATAATAACAATATTATTAGGCTCACCATATAATTATTATTAGAGTTTTTAACTTTTACAAAAATTATTGAAGTACATCCTTAATTATAAAAAAACTGGATTTAGAAAAAAGTCTGATAATAAAACTTGTAATAATACCAATACAATACGTAGTAAAATAATACAAAGTTGGAATAATAATAATAATAATTACTATAATAATAGGTACAACAATTTTTGTGCAAAGTATAAATTTTAGCTTGAAAACTTACTCCGTATCTTGTAACTTGTAAGGCCAAGGCTTCTTTTCCTTTTGTTCACATTTCCCACACCGGAACAATTGATGGATTCATCCATGCACTTCGGTTATATAATGCTCCACATGATAGCCTTCAATAGTAGGGCTAATTGAATGGGCTTTCAACTTTCCTGCAGGCCAAATATTAGCTCCATAGTCGAATTTTAATTTTTTTTTTGTTTGGGCCGCCTTTTGGCACGCATAGTAGGTATGCGAGGCATTTTTAATACGCCTTGCGCCTATTCTCGCCTATGCGCTGCCTTTTGGAGTGTTTTAGAACACTGCCTGTAGGGGGTCAGATGTGAGGTGAGAGCCCATTCCCATGCTCCGAAGATAGATACGGATGGTTTTGCTCCACTCAAAGAAGTTAGAGCCATTCAGCTTGTTATCAGTGAGTTTAACAATTACTGGAAGCATCTCTGTTACACGTGGATCACTGTTGTTGGCAGATGCTTTATCAGATGCCTTTTGTTCTCCAGCCATCTTAAAAGATCACAAACTAAGAAGAGATATAGGGAAGCAGAAAGAAAGCAGCACTCACAGGGTGCTCTGCTAAATAAGAAGAAAGATAGGGAACCAGAAAGAAAGCAGCACTCACAGGGTGCTCTGATCGATGAACAGTGTCAGGATTTTTCTCTCTCTCTACGGAAGTTCTCAAAACCCTAAGCCTTGCTCTGATACCATGTGAACAAGAACTAGATTGGGACTGAAAGTCTTATCTCTTAGGGAAAAGTACAGAAAAGGTACATGTGGTTTGAGCCATTTTTAGATAGGGGCACGCATTTTATTTTTTAACAAAGTGGGACATGTGGTTCAATTTTGGTATCATAGCTGGGGCATGGAGTCTAACGCCGTCAGAAAAATTAACTCCGGTTTTCAAAAGTCTCCGAAAAATTAAAAGAAAAATACTAAGAGGTGTGCCTCGTTAAGAAGACCCCCAGACCATCTTTCTATTTTTGTTTGCAACAACCCGATCGCCAGAAAGTTTACCGGAAAAGTGATGTTAGCGAATTCTTTTTAAAAAATAATCCAAATCGAGCCGAAAAGTTCAAAGAGAATGATAGTTTGTTGATCTCCTTGACGAGGCGCACCTCTTAGCATTTTTCTTTTAATTTTTTGGAGACTTTTGAAAATCAGAGTAATTTTTCTGACGGCGTTAGACTGCATGCCGCAGCTGTGATAACGGAATTGAACCACATGTCCCACTTTGTTAAAAAATGAAACACGTGCCCCTATCTGAAAACGGCCCAAACCACAAGTACATTTTCTGTACTTTTCCCTATCTCTTATAAAGAAAGGAAGGATACAACAGTATATATAGAAGACAGAAACCCTATGAGAGAAACCCTAAAGGCCCATGAGCTTATTGGGCCTAAGCTAATAAATACAATACACTATTTACATGCTAACAGGGATCTTGTTTTTCCTATGTAGAGGGATGCACTATGTTTGTGAGCATATTACCTCTGCAAGTCATTTTCGCTTTCTTAATTAGTTTTTATTTCCGTTTCCTGAGTTTACTAAATTTATTATGATGAACAATTTATTGGGATGGAATGAACTTTGCTTGTGCAGTGATAGGTCTCTGTTGAGGCAATGGGAAAATTGTGGGCAGCCCAAGATAGTTGTTAGCTGCAGGAATCAGCAAGAAATGTAAGCAGTTCCTTATGGATCACTGCTTTAAAAGTTCCCACATAGGCCCCAGCATCCCTTGACAACCACCATCCGTCAGCTGGTTAACAATGACAGAAAAATTTAAATTTTGTGTAGGAACAAGTTGAAGGAAGCAGCTGACAGCATAGGCCTCCCCACTTTTGTTGTTGCGGATGCCGGGCGTACACAGGTATTTTCGTGAACTTATCCGTGAATCTGAAAAGGTGTAGTAATTTTGTTTTCAAGTTATAATCTCTGTTCTAAAAATCGTTCTAGGCGTCCGATTAGTCCCCGCCTAGGCGCTAGGTGCTGGTCGGGCGTCCCGATTTTCGTCTAGGCGCTCCGACTAATTGGTTTGCCGTATAGATGAATTAGTCGTCCGCCTATGGCGCCTGGTTACCCGCCTAGAGCGCCTAATCAGTCGCCTAGGCCTTCTAGATTTGCCTAACATTACTTTACTTTTTAATTTTAATTTTTCAAGCGATATACATACTTTAACTTTAGCCATGTATATAAAGAAATGAAGTTGTAAATTAAGATAAAACTATACATGTTTGTATTTATACGTAAATTTTATCATTATTTATATTTATAACATAATGAAGATAAGTGATTAGTTATCATATACTATGTATGATTAAATGTGATAATTCTACCTTTCATGTTTGTTAATGTATATGTATATATGTATTTTATACATACAAAAATACAATATTACTTATCATATTTATGCAAAAATATAGATAAAAATGTAATTTCTATGTCTCCGACTAGTCACCGACTAGGCGCCCGCCTAGCCGACTAGGCGCCCGCCTAGCCACCTAGGCGCTGGGCTGGCGCTCCGACTAGCGCCTAGCGCCTTTTAGAACATTGGTTATAATAAATAATTTTATTTGCCGAATAATATAAAATAAGTTTGAGCAAATGATTGGACTCCTATTAAAACTGTGGGTAACCTAACACTGTCTATTATGGTGGTGTATCCATTAAGGGAGGGTTTGTTTGTTTAAAAAGGAAAGTAACACTTTCTGTAGTTAATAAGAAGAGGTAATTTGCTTCCTTACTTAACACCAAACACAAATTCACTTTCTGTGGAAATTTATTTTATTTTTCTTTAAACTTCGAATACAAATCTATAGGTGATAGACAACGGGATTTATTAAAAAATTTGACCACTAAACTTGGTGGGTATGGTCTAGGCACCCTTAACAGGTTTTATTAATATAATATAAGAAAACATACACAAGTGTGGGGGGGGGGGGATTAAGTGAAGAAGGCCTAAGGCCAATCCCTCAAGCAGGCATACCTAATACAAGTGGGAGGGAAACCTAATACAAGAAGCACACATCACCAAGGAGGCAAGGATTAGCAAGGTTTAACAAAATATACTGTCCAAGTCAAACCATCAATGAGAAAGGCCCTACCTAAGGATAGAAATGGGGGTGGGCCCCCCACAAGGAAGGATGAAGCGGGATTTGGGGGCAGGGCGGGGATGGGTAAGATATTCCAACCCCGCTAAAATATGGGGCGGGGGATGGGGATGACTATACCCACGCCATCCCCGCTATATATGTATGTACATAATATATATACACACAAACATATGTGTGTGTAAGTGTGTGTAGTATACACATATATACATATGTGTATATATATATATAACACATGCATATATGTATATATATGTATATAAATATAATTATGTTATTATATTATATATAACAAATGCATATTAATGTACATATACACACATATGTACGTGTATTAGTGTGCTTACATAATGAATTAATTATGTATTATTATATATATTATATAGTAATAGTAATAAATAATAACATTCACTTTCTTAGGTAACTTGTGGAAAAGTATATATACACTAACAACTAGCAAGGATCTGCATTTGGTGTTTGCTGACTTAGAAAAACATATGATAGGGTACCTCAATAAGTCCTTTGGCAGGCCTTGAACTATATAAAGCATATCACATAAGTATATCAACATCATCATAAATATGTACGAGGATTGTCTACAAGTGTCCCTACTAGTGTAAGGAGGATTGCAGAGTTCCCTACTACTATTGGAGTGCATCAAGGATCGGCTCTGAATCCTTTCTTATTTTCTATAGTCATGTATGAACTCATGAAGTCCATTCAAGAAGAGTGTCGTGGTGTATGATGTTTGCTGACGATATTGTGTTGACTGATGAGACAAGATTGTGTGTTGAAACAAAATTGAAAGTATGGAGACATATTTTGGAGAACAAAAGTTTTAGGATAAGTCGAAGCAAAACTGAGAATATGGAGTGCAAGTTTGGTGGATGTAGAAGCAATGGTAACAATATGATTTTAGAGGTGGGGAGGAGAGGGAGAGGAAGACCTAATCAAACAAGGGATTAGAGGAGCATTAACGTTATGTACATTTAATGAACTTTAAAAAAATTAACTATTTTAAATTAAATCATTGAACTAGTAAAGTCTGTCATTCCCAAACCACAAAACATGGTCTTGCAAAATTAAAGCCTTTATTTTTAAAAATATGTTAAAGAGTAGATGAAATCGTAAATTATGTTTTGTTTTTTTTTTTATATCAAAATGACCTCAAGAAGGATACTTGTTATGAAAGTATCCCCTTTTTTCAAATGGTTGAAATTACTTAAAACCCCAGACAAAATGGTGACATTTAAGTTGAAATGAAAAAAACAGCTTTGAAGTGAATTCAGATACTACTTCTGAATGGGTTTAACCGAGTTTGATTGAGGTCAACCATATTACATTGGTTCAATCTGGTTTGACATGTTCGACCAAGTTTGAAGTTCGAATAAGTTTGAAGTTGCTACTTCTTGGGTTGGATGAGAGTCTGACTTTCAAGAGAGCGGAGTGGAGACATCATATTCGGGTGGAGGATTGACCTCTTTTCATTTTTTCTAACCTTTTATTTTTCTTATGCTCTTTATTTTTATCTTTTTTATCTTTATCTTATCTTTTTGTCTTATCTTATCTATCTCTTTGTTTATATATATCTTTTTTTACTCCGATTTCATATGCCGATTCATGTTAGCCTATCCTAAACTCTTATGGGACCAAGACTTGGATTTCACATACACAACACAAAACTGTAATTAATTATATTATATTATATTATATTATATTATATTATATTATATTATATTATATTATATTATATTATATTATATTATATTATATTATATTATATTATATTATATTATATTATATTATATTATATTATATTATATTATATTATATTATATTATATTATATTATATTATATTATATTATATTATATTATATTATATTATATTATATTATATTATATTATATTATATTATATTATATTATATTATATTATATTATATTATATTATATTATATTATATTATATTATATTATATTATATTATATTATATTATATTATATTATATTATATTATATTATATTATATTATATTATATTATATTATATATGATAATAAATTTGGAACCATATATTTTAATGATAATATGTTTACTTCTATTATATTACAAAGCTTATTCAAATATAAAGAACCATTGAAGTTGGTGATATTAATTTTTATCGCACAATATTATCTAGTTTAGCTCTTTTAGTGCTAATTATATATAGGTTTTGGGTCAAATTCTTAGACCCAAAAGTTACAATTCTTAGACCTCTTTCATTTGAGGTGCTTTTGGGTCAATTTTTTTGATGAAATTTTATGAGGTTGATCTCCATTAATTGTAGATTATGTCCACCAAGTTTCACAATAAAATTCAATCGGGAAGTCAGTTAAATAAATTATTGAAAAAATGCATTTTATATATACACCTGTGCAATTTTGAAGAAATTATTTAACTGACTTCTCGATTGAATTTGAATCTGAAATTTGGTGGACATGGTCTACACTTCATGGAGAATAGGCTCACAAAATTTCATAAAAAAAATTCACCCGGAAGCCTCTCAAATGAAAGAGGCCTATGATTATAACTTTTAGGCCTACCTTACAAGAATATTCCTACACACACACACACACACACACACACATGTATGTATATATATAAAGTGAATAGGAGGATAAGCTACTCTCTCAGTCTAGCTCTCTTCGATCTTTGTGGGCGGCGATGGCGGGAGAAGCAGGATGTTTGGCTGTTTGGCCGCACCTCATCTCTTTGATGCTGTTTTTAATAGTAATATCGGGCCTTTAAAGGGAAATGGAGGCAAGCTCCTCCAGGGGACCGGCATTCGCGTGCGACACCGAAAAGAACCCGGGCTTGAAGGCGGCGCGGTTCTGCAACCCGGCGGTGGACGTGAGGGGGCGGGTGGGTGATCTAGTGGGGAGGCTGACGTTGGCGGAGAAGATAACGCTGTTGGGGAACAGCGCGAGGACCATGAGCAGGCTGGGAATTCCGGGATACGAGTGGTGGTCGGGGGCCTTACACGACCTTTCCTACAGCTGGGGCAGACGTTGAGATCATTTGCTAGGTTTTCTGTTTCCATCAATTTTTTCCGACCTGCCGGATTCTATCCACCGCCCTACGTCATCATGACTCGTTCCACCATTGATCAACACATGGATGCGATAGAAGCGGACCAGAAGGACATCAGGGCGGAAGTGCAATCCACCAACACCAAGTTGGATGCTATCACCTAAACCCTAGACAAACTGGCGCAGAAGGTTATGGCGTCGGGGGAACCACTGGTTGATTCTGAGTCGGGAGGAGGAGGCACGATTGACTCGCAAATCTCCCATAACCCTATGACCGCACCTCTGGCGCTACCAGCGTTTGAGGGGGCAAATCCGATTGGATGGCTCGCCAGAGCCAATCACCAGTTTGAAATCCATCAGACCCGACCTGATTTTAAGGTGGCATCGACCATGGTAGCGATGGAGGGTCATGCTCTGTATTGGTTCTCTTGGATACATTCGCGGAAACCGAATATCACATGGGAGGAGTTTTCACAAGCTCTTGTGGCCCTTTTTTATACTCAGTTTAAGGGGAGCAAGTTCGAACGGTTAGCCGACATCAAGCAGACGAGGTCCGTGGATGACTATGTGAACATGTTCGTTCAACTGGCCAGTCAGGTACCAGGTTTGAGTGATGCCCACTACTTGGGGTACTTCATGTAAGGGTTATGAGACACAATTCGAAGCTCCTTATGGCTTTTACGACCAACTGATT